AAAACTTTCCTTTTTGCTAAAGCATATAGTTAGGGCTGGACCAGGTGACCCTGAATCCTCCCTTAGTTATGCTGCAATAGACGTAGGCTGCCGGGGGATTCCCATTCCCATCGTATTAGATGAGGCTTAAAGGGGATGTTCAAGCACAACATATATAAAGGCTAATTTACACCACTGAGCCCTGCTCTCAAAAACTGACATAGATGTAACTCTGTCTGGGCACAGTGGTGTAAATTAGCCTTGATATGTGCAGCATTTTCCGTCTTTAAAACTTTCCTTTTTGCTAAAGCATATAGTTAGGGCTGGATCAGGTGACCTTGAATCCTCTCTTAGTTACGCTGCAATAGGTCTAGGATGCTGCCGGATTCCCATGATGCACTGCATTTAATTGTTAGCTGTTTTTAATCACTGACTCTTCTCCACACCGAGTCTTTGGCCTGTCTTCCTCCCCTCACCCCTAACTGGTTGCAGCAGATGGACAAGCTGGTGCAGTCCTATCTCACTCACGAAATTATAAATTAGGCTGATGGTGCACAACAGTTTTACAAATGGCCAAAAAACATCCTCTTTCAAGTGAACAGTAGATGGATCAGCTGAAGGTTCAGATGAACTCTCAGGTCCTGTGTCAGGTCTTTGCTGGATTTTCCCCTGTTTCTTCAGGACACGACTTCAGATCCTGTTCATCAGTGGTCGATAGATTTTTGGGCATCACTTCTTCTGTCCAGTTTCCTCAAAATCTTTTTTAGGACACCCTGCACACCATGCCAAGTTTTCAGTCAATAGCTCTTTGGGAATCTCTGTTTTGGTACAAAAATACTATTTTATGTCAAACTGTGTTTGCGATGAGGCGACTGATGTGAGGCTTTTGCACAGCTGTGCATTGGGGGCATTTTCCTTGCTGAAACAGCTGAAAGTTCTGTGTAATCAATGCAATCATCAAAACGAACAAAACCTCAGTTGTTATTATTATATACCTCAATTTAGTTTATACAAGTTAACTTATATACTGCCAATTAACAATAACAATCACCATTCACAAGTACCATATTAATGGTACTTTTTAACCTCATACAATGTGTTCTTTTTTTTCTTGTCACAGGTCTTACACAATTAGGCATCAAGTCTCCACAGGTCTTCCTGGTGTCCACCTTTGAGCTCCACCTATACGACTTCTATCTCTTACATGAGACCTTAGAGAGAGACCTCTGTGAACTCAAGAAGTATGCTCTTCTTTCGGCCATGCCCAACATTGACCTGGAAATCATCAGTAAGAAGAAAGAAGCTTTCAAACACAGAATACATCTCCTGGCCACTCTGTGTGCAGTTGGAGCAGTTGTTCCCGGACTTTCTATTGCTATTGATTTAGCAGTGCTGGCTGGTGCTGTCAAAGATTATGTACTCGGGTTTGGTCTTGATATCCCGTCTCTGAAGAGACTTTCCAGTAGCACAGGTGTGCCATACAATGATCTATGTGCTGTCATCAATTCACCCCTGGCTGCAGTAGAAATAACTACAGAGCTCCTCCTGCAGGTGATAATGGTCCAATCTATTGACAAAACTTATTTAATGACAGCTGAGGAAATAATCAGCTGGATCCCAATAATTGGAATCCCGGCAGCAATCCATTTCTCTTTCACAAGCATCTCCAAGCTTCTGAATGTTAACCTCAGCCAGCTCACTGAAGATGCTCGGAGAGTCTTTCATAGGGCTGTGGGTATCAAGACATCAGTGTGATATTGTAAGTTTAAAATAATCATTCACCGTTTAGTGAAAAAGTTAAAACTGCAGTGTAGGCAAACAAGCTTTTTTTCCTTATAAGTACTATAAATTAAAATAAATAATCTGAATCATAATAGCTGTACATTTGAACCAGTATCCTTGTACAGCTGATCTGTGTGTTTGAGGCCTCAGCAGGTCTCATTTCCTCTGATAGATCAGAAACAGAGTAACTTCTCCCACCGTCACACACTTTCACACAGTTCCTTCTGTTCCAGAAAGGAACTAAACTGAACTCCATGAACTTAAACTCCTGCTGCACCTGAACCAGCTGATTGACACTCATTTATATAGTTGCTGTCAAAGTGCTGAGTGGAACAAATAAATCTGTAGAAGTTTATTATTTATTGTCAGCCCAGAATAAAATCCCTACTATGTGACTCTGTAGACAGTAATGGAGCTGTCACACTGTTAAACAGTTTCATTGTACTGAAAGCATTTACTGTATGTTACTGTAGAATCACTGCTTAAGAGCAACACACTGATCAATGATCAGTCATTTGCCATGGGGACAGTGTGAATATTTGAGTGAAGATGAGGCTGAAACAACTAAGACTAAGAAATGATTTAAAAAAATCATTATTTTAAAGTGACTTCTGCATACAGTTGGATTGTAATCTCATTACGTTTCAAGTTAATGTTCAGATTGTGATGGTGGAATGGAGCATTCAGACAGCTCTATAAAAGGTGAGACATCTAAAGTGTGTCTTATGAGAGCTGCCCTCGATTTATTTAGTTAAATGTGAAAAAATAATTAACTCTTTCTGTTAACAGAAGTTAGTAAAACTGCTATCTGCTATGGCTGTAAGAGGGAATTCTATCAATAAAGGCTGATATCAGGTCTATTACTAAAAGTGTTTTTATTTAATTAAAAACTGACTCTGAGTCTCTTGCTGGTTGGGTAACTAATGTCTCTGTTTCTCCACATTTTTCTCTTCAGTCTCCTATATTGTGTCCCTGTCAAGTCACAGCTAATAATTAAATATCAAATACAAAATTAGGATTCTGGGGTTGCCAGAGCCAGTTTCCTCCTGTTATTTATTTATTTTTTTCCTCTCAGTGAAACATCACGGCCATGACTGGCACATGCTCATGTCTGGATTAAAAAGGGCTCTGCTCTCCGATGCTGATTGAGTTAACTCTGACCAGCTGTTCTGGAACAGGAAACTCAGTTTAAATAGAAACATGCTTGTTTGTTAACATGCTTTCTGGAATATGGTCCTAGTTTCTCTGACTCTGTTTATGAACGTTTGTCACCCTTTGCACTTTAGGGGTTTTTTGTGCTTTTAAAAAAAAGTTTTCTAATGTTACTTTTCCTCCTGCTTTTAGTTTTCTACTCCATATCTTCATATGTGGTCTAAATATTGAATATTTTCTCTGTAATGTAGCAATAAAATGTAATAAACTATAAGTGCAGAAATGAGTCCATAATACAATATGTTCTGTAAGAATTTTGATAGTTCGTTACTAGTTTAATAACACCTTAGATTCTTATCAGGCTTCTTCTCCAGTCATGGAAGGACCTGCAGACTCTTAAAGACAGAAAAAAAAACGGCTACCAGGATTCAGATTATGGCCAGGGCCGTATGTATAAAGAAATTTTCCTTTGGCCCCTGCGGGCGATCTACCCTTCAAGCTCAGATCTTCTACCAGAAGCCTGGGAGCTTGAGGGTCCTGCGCAGTATCTTAGCTGTTCCTAGGACTGCGCTCTTCTGGACAGAGATCTCCGATGTTGTTCCTCGGATCTGCTGGAGCCACTCGCCTAGTTTGGGAGTCACTGCACTTAATGCTCCAATTACCATTCAGACGACTGCTACTTTCACCCTCCACATCTTCTCGAGCTCTTCTCTGAGCCCTTGATACTTCTCCAGTTTCTCCTGTTCCTTCTTACTGATGTTCCTGTCATTCAGAACCACTTCATCTATCACTATGGCCGTCTTCCACTGCTTGTCTACCACCACCACTATATTCTGTTGGTAAGCCATCACCAGTTTGTCCATCTGTATCTGGAAGTCCCAGACACTGCAAAATCTAATATTGTGTTTAATTAAAAATATTAAGTAGATTGAACTTTGTTTTTATCAGCTTGTTATTAGAACTCAGAGTAAGTTACCTGTACATTTCATTCAAAAAGCTGATCAACTCAGTTTATTTGTCTTAAATTAGACTAAGTCCATCCATCCATCCATCTTCTTCCTCTTATCCGGGCCAGGTTGCGGGGGCAGCAGCCCAAGCAGAGAAGCCCAGACCTCCCTCTCCCCAGCCACCTCCTCCAGCTTCCCAGGCCAGCCGAGAGATAAAATCTCTCCAGCGTGTCCTGGGTCTGCCCCGGGGCCTCCTCCCAGTGGGACATGCCCGGAGCACCTCACCCAGGAGGCGCCCAGGAGGCGTCCTTGTCAGATGCCCGAACCACCTCAGCTGGCTCTTTTCAATGTGGAGCAGCAGCAGCTCTACTCTGAGCCCCTCCCGGATCGCTGAACTTCTCACCCTATCCTATCTCTAAGGGAGAGGCCAGCCACCCTTCGGAGGAAGCTCATTTCCGCTGCTTGTATCCGCGATCTCGTTCTTTTGGTCACTACCAACAGCTCGTGACCATAGGTCAGGGTAGGGACGTAGATCGACCGGTAAATTGAGAGCTTTGATTTACGTTCAGCTATCTCTTCACCACAACAGACCGGTACTGTCATGGTCCGACAGCCCTCGCCGGGCTGCCTGCCCATGTGTTATTGTGTGCGTGTGTATGTATTGCTCCCTCCCCCTCTCTCCTGCTCTCTCTCTCTCTCAACAGGATTGTTTACCTCCGAGCGGTGACGAGTGCTCCCAAGAGTGTTCCCACGCTGAGGCTGGCCGCACCTGTTGCTGATCGGAGCTGACCAGCTGTAGCCAATTATCCGCCATCTTTGGGGCTGCCTTCTTAATGGGGCGATCGAGCTTCAGTCAGCGCTGGATCATTGTGTGAAGCACGGTAGAGCAGCGCGGACGGTTTTTATGTTGCAGTTTATGTTGAGCTGAGGATTGCTTAATTACTCTGTGTGTGTTTGTGTGTTTGCCACTAGAAGAGAAACGGAGAGAAATCCCGGGAGCTGGACTGCCACATGGATAACTGTTTTGGAAGGAGTCACTACGTGTGTTTTCACTTCATGGCCACGAGCACTGCTAGGAGGAGAAGGAGGAGACCACACCTGGGCATCCATCACTTTATATATATGTATATATATTGAACCGTTGCACCTTTACCTCACTGTAAATAAACCCACTGTCTTCTCCAAAGGGAGTCCTGCATACGAGTCCTGTTTTCCACACCTACCCTGACAGAACCAGTTCCAGCCAGCAATGGACTCGGCGGATTCCGATCCTGTACAACGTGAGCTATCTCTTCAGGCGGATCTATTGGAACGACACGAGAAGATGCTTCAGCATATATCTAAGGAACAGGGCGCCCTGCTCCAAGTAACGGAACTCAAAGGTATGTGGCAATCCTCTCGCCCGGCAGCAGCTAATGTTCCACCTCCACCCATGCGTGAGCACACCTTACCTGTACCTGAAAATTTTTCAGGGGATTTAGATAAGTGTAGAGGCTTCATTACCCAGTGCGACTTGAGTTTTCGCCAACAGACTCAAGCCTATGCTACTGACGGTGCCAAAATTGCTCTTATGATACAACTCATGACTGGGAGAGCACTGAAGTGGGCTCAGGCAGTGCTGCGTTCCAACTCCAATGTTTCTTGTCCTGACTTCTGACCAAATTCCGCAGTGTTTTTGATAAAGGTTCTAATCCGGATGTGGCTGCTCACTGTTTGTTTCATTAAAGCAGGGCGGATTTCTCTGTGGATTTTTGGATCTTGGCTGAGGAGACTGGCTGGGAGGAAAAAGCACTTCGGGGGGCATTTCTCAACACCCTCAATGAAGGACTCAGATGTGAATTGGCCACCAAAGAATTACCCAAATCTTTGGATGCTTTGATTAATATGTGTATCAGCCTTGATGACCACATGCAACAATACGGAGGGCGGTCTGAGGAAGCCCGCCGGGCAACAGGAAGCCCAGGTGGTTGGCTGAACACTTCTTCCAATGTGGGAGGAGAAGGGGAGCGTGAGCTTGAGGAGACGGAGGAGGAGCCAATGCAGCTAGGACGAGATAGATTCAGCAAGCCGGGGTGGAGGAAGAAACGCCAGATGGGTGAGTGCTTTGCATGTGGAAAGAAGGGGCACTTTGCAGACTCTTGCCCATCCCTGCTAAAAGATTCAGCCCGTCCGTAGCGGTGGGGTTACTGATGGGTGCAACGGGAGATGTGTTACCCCACCTCAGCTGCCCCGCCAAACTTATCTTTCAGTGTCAGGGTGTGCTGTGTGGCAGGCAGGAGATGAGGACTCAAAATGCAGGACTCTCAGACTCGAGGAATGAACTCAAACCACAGCTTTATTTGCTGGTCACAGAAAAACGAGCATACAAAGCGAACTAAACTAAACTGGGAAATGACAACCTAAACTTACAGGAAACACAGGGAGATCCACACAGCATGAGTGATGACGCGACACTGACTCAGAGAAACACAGGGTTTAAATACACTGGGAAGTAATGAGGGGAATGAGACACAGAAGGAGGGCACAGCTGGGAGAAATCAGAACTGACGAGACAAGGAAGCAAAGCAGAACACATTCACATAAGACACAGACCTTCAAAGTAAAACAGGAAGTATAACACAGAGACGCGAACTTGACTAGGGGAGACAGAGCAACTAAGAAACACAGAGAACAACAACAAAGAGACACAGAGGGCAGCTACCAAATACTCAGAAAAACAGACAGAATACAAGAAGGCCAAACTAAGACACTAGACTATACAATAAACTGGGACAACAAAGAGAACTAAGAAAAAGTACAAAAACTCAGAGACACAAGAAACTCAATACACTGGGTCACCGACCCAGGACCGTGACATTCAGTCCATAACTCATTCCTGTAATGCACTAGTGGATTCAAGCACGGAACAAAGCTTTATGGATGAAACTTTAGCCAGGAAATTGGGGGTCCCACTTGTTTCCCTGCACGTTCCTTTACATGAGTCTGCCCTCAATGGGGAAGTGCTGGCCAAAGATACGCATCACACGCATGAAATCACGCTGGTTCTTTCTGGTAATCATGTTGAAAAGATAAGTTTCTTTCTGTTTAAGGCACCTGATACTCAATTGGTGTTAGGTTACCCGTGGCTTCAACGTCATAACCCTCAGATAGATTGGGCCCAGGGAAGTGTGGGGGGATGGAGTGAGTGGTGTCACAAGCAGTGCTTACGGTCAGCTGTTCCCAATCTGACGCCGACAACGGCGAAGGACTCTGTCTGTGCTCCTGATCTCTCTGTTGTTCCGGCTGAGTATCATGATCTAGCTAAAGTGTTCAGCAAGAGTTTGGCCTCATCGCTTCCGACTCACCGACCTTATGATTGTGGCATTGATTTGCTTCCAGGAGCTACACTGCCCATCAGCCGCCTGTACAGCCTGTCCAAGCCTGAGCGCGAGTCCATGGAGCGCTATATTACCGACTCACTCTCGGCAGGCATCATTCGACCGTCCACTTCTCCGCTTGGGGCAGGATTCTTTTTCATCGAAAAGAAGGACAAATCCCTTCGCCCCTGCATTGACTTCCGTGGTCTCAACAAAATAACCATCAAGAACAAATATCCTCTCCCTCTGCTAACGTCCGCATTCGAGTTGCTCCAGGGAGCCACCATTTTTACTAAGCTGGACCTTCACAATGCCTATAATTTGGTTCGTATTCGAGAACGGGACGAGTGGAAGACTGCATTCAACACGCACTTGGGCCATTTCAAATATTTGGTCATGCCTTTTGGTCTTACCAATGCTCTGGCAGTGTTTCAGGCTATGGTGAATGATGTGCTTCGGGATTTCATTAACCACTTTGCTTTTGTGTACTTTGATGATATTCTCATTTTTTCCAAGACTCGTGAGGAGCATGTTGAACACGTCAGACTGGTGCTTCAACGGCTGTTGGAGAATCGCCTGTTCGTCAAAGGTGAGAAATGTGAATTTCACATCCCGACAGTGTCTTTTCTGGGGTTTGCAATTGACCGGGGGCAGTTGAGAGCGGATCCTGCTAAGGTCAAGGCAGTGGTGGAGTGGCCGGAGCCTAAGACCCGGAAGGCCCTCCAGAAATTCTTGGGCTTTGCTAACTTCTACCGTAAGGTCATTCGTGACTTCGTGACTGAGTACTGTGATGTTGCCGTTGACTACTTTCACGTCTCCTAAAAAGCAGTTTGTGTCATCACCCCAGACCCAACAGGCTTTTGCGCAACTGAAACAGTTATTCTCATCTGCCCCCATTCTCATTCAAGCAGATTTATCTCGACCCTTCATTGTGGAAGTGGACGCGAAGTTTTCTTCCCACGCAGTGAACA